AACAGCAAAGCTTCCATCTCAAAATGAAAGCTACCACTGACAGACCAATACAACTGAAGTAGTTCAAATTTATGCTTCGGAACACAGGAGTCCAACAGGTGTCCCGGATCACCAAGATGAGTCTTCTTTCATTACAAGCTACCACATACACTAATCCTTTCCTGGAGTCCGTTTACAATCTGAGGGTCTAAAATTACTCTGGTATTTTCCACAATAGCTTTTATTTTTACAACATTTTACGCAGCTTATGGAAGACTAACTGGCTAGTAAGAGAGACATACTGACTGAGGCTTACCACATATAGAAATGGCATATTCTTACATGCCTTTACCTTCAAAGCAGGCTGCAATCTCTTTATGGTAAGGAATGCCTTTTTGTTAAGTGGTTCCACAAAGCTTAGCACAACAGTAAGTGAATTTATTCTTAAGGACTACAGGTCCTAATTACTAATAATAATTGGTAAAATATATATAGTACATCAACACAAGCTCTTTATTCAGATGCAACAGCATCATCAGCAACTTAAGAAAAGAACCAGTAAGAATAGACATCTTACTAGATACTGAGGAAGATTAACGCTGTTCTTAATTCTTCATGCTGAAGAATGAAATGGACTACTCATCAGTAATATTATTTCTTAGAAATGCATTACTCAGGTTTATTCTGTAATCAAAATTGCCTCTGTAACAGGCATAGGTCTGCACACATTCTCCTCTTCCCATTCCTCCCCCTTATATTTTTGGTACAGGGAATGTGCATGAATGCATCACTAGCAGCAACTACATAATGGAGTTCTCTACAAGAAATGAGGGTCAGCATGCCCACAGTGCAAATGAGAATGCCACCCTAGGAAAGCCACATTCATGACCATGCCTGCTTTGCCAGGATACATGCAAGAAAATTCACCCATTCAAAGCTGAATTTTGTGTGCACAAAACAGCTGTTGCTTCTACTCAACTTCAAAACCTCAACAGCATAAGGCTCCAGGACAGATAAATGATGAACATGCACATGGAAACAATACCTCAGAGAAACTAGTTACTCTTAAGTACCCCTTGTAACTCCCTACACATCAGTCTACAGGCACAGTCAGTAGCTCCCCACACCCACAGTTTAGACAAAGTGGGTTTCTGATTTCTTTGTTACACAGTAATTACTGTAGGATCACATCCAAGGACAGTATAGTTTCTACACACACGTAATAACAAGTACTAATATACTACAGATATCTGGAACGGTGGCATTCTTCAATAATGTCAGAGTTAAAAGTATATTGCAACTTAAGCTCTGCCTTAGCAGTCTTGCAACAGATTTTCAAGTTACCAGCATCCACTGAGACCATCTCCAAGATGGCTGTATCCTTTGATCTTCCAGCTAGCAGCACAAAGAGACATAGGGACCATCTGAAGTAATTGGTCCCAAGCAAATTGGACAATGCCTGTTCTACACAACTTAAGAGCTATGCAATTTAAGAATATAGAAAAACTGTATTTCTAACCAAAATCAGAAGCAGATTGACTCTTGGCTTAAGTCAAAACCTAGACTAGGTCCAAAAAGAAATCTTTTAATATTAAGAAAAACCCACAAAACAGAACACTGAAACCCACATGCAGGCTGTCATTCTCCCTTGTAGAAGCAAGAGAAATCATGAAAGTCATCTTGCTGAAGAACAGAAGTAGCAAGCTGTTTGCCACAGGCTCTGACTATTAGCATCAACTATCAGTTTTCCACTCTGTTAATGATGAGGATCCCTCAGAAACATCAGTATTCTCACCAAACCAGAAGTAACTTTAACTTCAGTAAAGTGCAAGGAAAGAAGCCTGGGAAACCCACTGAAAGACGGTGTACTGATATGAAATCAAGGACTAATTTAATAATCCTCAATATCCATCAGACAAACAAAAGTATCAACCAAAGAGCTTCTCTTTGAAGAGGGACACTAATGGACAAATGAGAACTCCAGTGTACTTGGAAACTTGAGTCCACTAGGTTAAATCCTCCTGTTACCAACAACGTCAAAGTCTACTTTAGTAAAAGGAAACATTAAAAATTGGAAAAAATACTTTCAATAAATCTACTATTAGAAATATTCTAACTTCTGCCTGCACAGGTCCAGGAACTTGGTAAAGCTTTTAGAATCCTCACTAATAGTAATGGCCACCCATACTGTCAATCAGGCTGGCGATGTAACTCACAGTGCATCCTACCTCACATTGCTTTTCAGACAGGCTCTTTACAGCATCAAAGAAAAGACATCCATGTAAAATCTTATGGATCATAAAAACACTCAACACCCATCCTACACAAAACAGACATAGACCTGACTATAATATCTTCAGCTGAGAAACAAAGACACCTCAGACTACTTGCAGATCTGAAAGAGTTAAGAGAGCATCATTCTGCAGCTCATATGAAGTAAACAGATGATCCCTTCCGCTAAAGTATCTGGTTCTCTAGAAAAAATAACCACAGTGTACTTTATGACACAACATGCAGATATGACCTCAAGGTTTAAATTAAACTTCTCTGTTGATTGATATAAAACCTGTGTTTTCAGGTATCAGACAAACATGATAGCCCTGAAAAAAGTTGGCTACACTTGAACCATACTAAATCTGTACTTGCATATAGGTAGCATACTGAGATTTCTCAGGCTGCAGAAACATCCAGCTGTCCTGCAACTACTGTTGAGCACCTTCTTAAACGGAAGGCCTTCATTACAAATTACTTAAACAGAAAAAGGAAGGAAAAGACAGCATTCATTTGTACATCAATAACTCCTTCCACTCCTTCAAGGAAGAGCTACCCATCAAGAAGCTAAGCCTCACTGAGTGAGAGAACTGTCTTGCTGAAACTAAGCAGACTGTATCCAGTGCTGCACAAGCAAAAAACACAGAGTATAGTAAGTTAAGAGGAAAGGGCCAACTTTTGTACAACACAGCACTGTAAGACATATCCTTATGGTGCCACACCAAGCTACTGAAGTGACCGCCTCCTGATTTAGAAGTGATTCTTAAGTAAGCTGTGGTGGAGACTACGTACAGTTACCTCTGTTAACTTTAGGATCTAAGCATGTGTTGGATTCCTCATGTGCCCTTTCAAATAAGAATTTGGCTTTCCCCTTTTCTATGTATGATAGCAGTGTATGTCCACAGCAGTGGATGTCCACATCAAGAATGTAAGTGGCAGGACACATGCGTAGCCCACAGACACCAAAGATTTAAACACTAATATATGAAAACAAACTGGTGCACACATAGCTACCATATGAAGATGCATGTTAGGTAACACTAAAAGAAAGTGAGACCTTGAAAGATTTATAGCAGTAACATTCAAACACCTAATCACTGATAGAAGTACAAGTCTCACTTTCCAGAAAGCCTTGCAATGGTTTTGCCTTCCAAAAGCCCAAACTTCCACTACCCTAGACCAATCAGTTAAATAACTGACTTCAATGACTACCTTGCAACATAGTGTTTCTGTGCCTCAGCTAATATTGTTGGCTAAGAATACATAACTGCTACACTCAATAAGAGTACAAAGACTGTCCTGAAAGGTAACAGGTAGATCCTGAAGTAAGACGTCAACCTTCTTTTGTCTGTAGTATGAATGTGCCAAACAAAAATCAGACCTGTTGTGAAACATTTCTACTTCTGTACTTTCAACTCATGAAAAACAACAATATCTTCAATAAAGGAATATAATTTCACTGCAACAGTTACAAACACTGTTTCTCAGAAAGGTCTGCCCATGACTAATTTACATATATCACAGTATTGTAAAATTAGGTAATTTTAAAGCTGAGTCTTTGAAATCATACCACAATAAACACGTAATTTCAAAATAAAGTATTTTCATTTTTATCATACCTGTTGACTAAGTTATTTTCATGTATTTCTTGCAATATTCAATTAAATACTTACATTTCTACTTCCACATTTGCAATTCTCTAACATTTTAAGTAGAAAACTTAGACAGTTGCAGATATAGAATCTGAATGCACTTAGACTCTATGTTGAGTTAAGTTGTATCTGCTATTGGTGAAAGCAAGGAAGAATTGTTCTATGTAAGTCAGATTCACAACCATATATTAAAATAACTAAAGGTGAAATAGCTGCTCTAAAAACTATTTTGGAAATCTACATTTAGTTATTACTGAATATACTTTTCTTCCTTCTACCTTAATCTTACATTGCACAAACTACAGTATTTTTACTAATCTCAGCACCAAAAATTAAAAATCGTCAACTCATTATTTGTTTAGAAGCTTAACTTAATGCTTTAACACATGTTATTAAAAAAAATTTAAAACCCCACACAATCCAGACCAATTTCTCAAGCCAATAAAGTGCTGCAAAACTTGCTTGTAAGAAATCCCTCCAAACTCAAGTGTTTCCTACACACACATTGCAGGTTCTGGAATTTGTTTTTACTACAGAAAAAACCCAAACACAAAAAATCCCCTCAACCCACCCTTAATGCCCTCTCCCCAGTTCAGAATCAATTTCATGCCCTCAGTCACAAAGTTTTCTGTAACAAGCTTTTACTGGAAGTGCAGTTCTGCAATTTTGTGCACAATTATTCTATTTGGAATAACGTTGATCCAAATCAAGTAACAAAATTTGCCCTCATGAGAGTTCTCCTTCAGGTCCAACGAGAGGAATTGAATATACACAGGAAAAAAATAAAATCAATACCTTGTTGGAAATACTCCCAGTAAAAATTCAATTATATAATTTCTTTCTCTTATATAAGAAGGATGGATTTTAAGTTTCATAAAGACAAACAAATTAATACCTGACAATTATTTAGGCACGAAAAATACTCCCAATGGATTCACTATATCCAACTGAAAAGCATTATAAATTTTTTAATTTTTTTTTCTTGGTTGGAAAATTGAACTCGCTTTCTTTGATTCCAAGCTTCTTCAAGAAATTCTTGGTTTATACAAACCAAATAGCAATATGTGACGTCCTCAAAATAGTATCAGGAGCACTTACTCATCATACTTGATATGATAAATAGCTTCTTCATCAGTGTCCATACAGTCTGAATAAGATGTGGATGGTGTACTGTCCAAATTATTTGCATTTTCTCTAGAATGATCTTGACTTAAGCTTCCATTAGTCCTTTTGTATGTGTTACTGCTCTTTCCTTGAGCTTTACCATTCTTATGTCCCTTTGTTGCTCGGGTAACATTTTCTATATGAGCTTCAAACCAGGCTCCAATGCTGACATCACGGGCATCCACCAATTCATTTATCTAAAAGAAAAATTCAATAATGAATTTATGCTTATTTTATATAATCCAAATTAAGAAAAAAAAAAAATAAGCAAGACCATTAACTATGCTTCTGCTTAACTCTGTTACCAGTAAAATGATCAATTTAGTAACTGGTTGAGCTTGAGCAAGTTCAAGTAACACCGGTCACGAATATGTTCCGCTCACTATTTTATTACTCTTCCCACATTAATATCTAGTATGAATATAATCTGTACTTAATTTTAAAAAGCAAGGCTAGATTTCTACCCCTGTGCCCCCCAAACCTGAAAGCTAGCTTAGTCACTTTCATTATCCTTTCCTCTTGCTTCACCAATTGTTCTTTATGGCTAAAACAAGCATACATTAAAATACTAGTTCACAATCAAGGAGTTTAAAGCTTTCCTGAGCCTCCAACTTGGAATTATTATTTAACCTTCTGTCTTTCTAGCCTGCAAGATTTTTTTTAACCCTCCAAGGATCAAGAAGAGAGAGGGAGGAAATAAGTACAAGGCTGCCACCACAGGCAGCCAAAATCTTATGACTAACTGAACTATCTCCCAAAATTTCTCCCTTCTGTACTCACAATAAAATTGGTATTAAGAACCAAACCACTTCACTCTTCTAAATCATGTTTCATTTTCTCAAGTCTTCAGCTAATTAAGCAGATATTCCTTTAATAATACTAAGAACACTGAAAAAAAGATTTGAAGAACACTTCATCAACAGTACACAAAGTATAAAAAAATTAGAACTACTGCACAGCCATACCATAGAGAACACCTATACTAAACAATATATCTGTAGATAAGAACATAGTGGCAAACTCTTACTAACCCCAAAGGCTAGTTTCTGTAAACTGAACAATCTTACTGTATTTTCACAGGAGCAAGCCAAAAAACATGTCAAACAACTTTTAGTATTTAGAGTGAAGCAGTCCTTGGGTATCTGAATGTGCAACTGACAGCAGTTTGAACTAACAAGTTTATTCTAAGAAAACAATACATCATATTTTACTCTTCATTCACCTTCTTAAAATGACCTCCAAAACTTAATCTTTCATTTTCTCTCCCTTGTAAAATACCAGCATGTATTTTTTTAATTTTTATTCTTACAGCCTACAGTATTCAAAGTACAGGGTTTTTTACCAGGATGAAAATTTCGGCCACAAAATAAACAAACCAGAGAACAACAGCCTCATTTTAAATTTATCTATTTTAAATATAAACAGTGGATTCTGGCACTTCTAGAAGGAACCCTCATGAAGGCATCCCTCCATAACCTTGCCATGTTTGAACTAGTTTGAGCTCAAAGTGCTTCTTTACTTCCTCCTCTCAAAAAGACATTTGAGCAAGACACACACTACTAAGGATTCCTCCATCTGCTGCTACTTCTTGAGACCAGTTATGAAAGTGCCAAAGAAGCCATGTTAGTCAAAACTCATCATCAGATCCAGGGAAGGAATAAAAAAAATTTAAAAAAAAAAGAAAATCAGTGAAAACTTCCTTAATTCTTCTCCAGTGCACCCTTCAATAACCTGATGTGCATACTTACACAACAGACTTACCCCCCGACCCTTGCAAAAAGTAAGGGCAAATAACTATTACCAGAGGAACATCAGACAACTATTTTATGTTAGTGGTGTCTGGTTTAAGGACTGGGTTATTAGTACCTCTTTGTGAACAATATTAAATAAATATTGATTTTAATTACAGATTCAGTTTGTGTGCTTTTTATTCCAAGATAGTTAAGAGTTCTCAGCTGAAGTGGTTTTACTACAGCCAGAGATTTTTGAATGAAAGTTTACAAAGACCACATGAGAATCAGCAAAGCAAACATGCACATGCTTCTGAATGAGCTTTGTTTTTTCTAACACCATTCCTGCATGCCCCACCAGTGTTGCTGTAACTCCTCTCTTGTAACCTTTCTTGTATTCTTCATTTTGGTACTGGAGATCAACCGTGGGTACCCTGCTTAGCCAAGATGATGTCCACACACATGCCGAGTCCATCTTGGGATGGATCCCCAGTTCTTAAACTAGACACCAATAACAATTCTCAGTAACGAGAATAGGATTTACAAGTAATTCTGCCCACTACTAGTCCTTCAGAGCTCTTGTAAATATCAGATGACAGGTCCAACTAGAATATAGAACAAGATAAAGCATTCTGATTTACATAATATACAAAGACCATACACAAAGACCATACACAGGAAAATTACAGGTTTCACTATTTTAACCATCTAAAAATAATTTATTATTAACTATTATTTCCAATATTGACTCTACCACTTTTTTTTTTAAATTACAGGTTCCATACTGGCTACCTTTCCTTTTGGTAGTTGAAATCAGAAAGAAAGAGGAGGGCATAAAGGCTGAGACTGTTCAGCATGTGCAGTAACAGATATCTTGTTGAGTCTAGCTCTGGATGCAGATCCAGTGAGGTACAGGCCTTTCCTCAGACAGCAAATATTGTAACAAACTATTCCTTCCTATAAGTAGACAATTCCTTATTGTCTGACAAATAACCAAATGCAAAATAAATACATCCATCTATTTAGGTATCTAACATAGCTTAGTTTATGACCTTTTTAATTGACTTTTATTAAAAAAATTTACTACCTTTGACTGACATTATAGGCTAAAAATATATTCTTACAAGTTTCCTGATTCTGTCAGTAGAAATCCTCTATTCATTCCTACTGATATCTACACATAGCAAAAAATACAATGACTGTACCCTTATTTTTTCTCTCTCTATATATTAAAACCATATGGTTGGCTGGAAAAGTAATCAATTCACAGGTAATGAAGAAGAAAGTGTTAGGTCCCTAGTACCAAAGATCACAAAAATTGCAGCTGATTCAGAATAGGCCTCCTTGAGTATGTTTGCCAATATCACCATTCCCCACTCTATTTTCTGTTTTAATGCTGAACAGAACAGCTAAGAGACTACCTGATACACTTTTTCGCATTCTTGAAAATACACACTTTAACACTCCTTTCCTTTGATCAACTGATCTTCTGCAGCCTCCTACTCCCCAGTGTTTGCCCCATCCTTTCTCATATTACCTTTTACACTAATTGATTAACTGTAAAGCATCAGAACTAAGAACTGGGGCTCTTTCCCCACTGTAATAAATGGAGATAAAAGAAAAAAAAGAAAGCACACAAGCTTGTATCTCCATATTCAAGCTACTGATTTTTTTGACTCCCTGATTCCTCAGGGAATGAATAAAACTCACTGCACAGAACACTACAGCAACATGGAGTAAGCAACTTACCACTTGTCCTTCATACCCAAAACATTAAGCAATACTACATGAAACTAAGACAGCTTCCCATCAGGATGTCAAGTCTAAATAATAGTGTTCCTCTGACTGAAATTAGCTTGTATATGTACATCAGCCTCAACCCCCTTTTCCCTCTCCATAAATTTGGACGTTTTCCAGCAAAAGAATTACTGTATTGGATATTTCTTATGTAAGAGTAACACCCAAACAGGAGGTAAAGTAATATAAAGTAATACTTTCCTGTATATACACGTGCTACTACATATCCAATGCACTAGCAAGCTGGAAACTGCCCATTTTCTGTTCAAATGAAACTTCTGGTAATCTGATGTAATCCTACATGACAATACCAAAAAATTCAATGATGTACAAAACTAACAACGAAAATGATATACATGATTCCTAAAAAACCTGTAACAAGCCAGCAATCATTACAACACATACAATTTAAACAAATTGTGTATTTCCAGTGTTTACCTAGTCCTAATGCAGCACTGAAACATTAGTATTAAAACAAATACTTGGCAAGCTTGAAAAAAATAAGGGAAAGGGGGAAACGCTACGCTTTTCCACAGATTTTATTAGATTCTTCTGTTCACTAAAGGCATTTCTGTTTCACAGGTACTCTAAAGTTTTTGGAGAAAAACAATGTGTCAGAGTTTACACACTCTCCTGAAACCCACACCACCAGCGAGCCTAATACAGAGACACTTTCATGACTTCGCAAAAGTAATTTTAAATGAAGTCAATTCGATGTATGTCAAATTGGGGAACTATATCAAATCATGAAAGAAAGTAATTACACACTTTCATACAATAAAACAATAAGCTTTTTGTAACAATAAAATTTAGCCCGTAAGTGTGTCACAAGCTTCCTACAGTTTGTACATACCTTGTACAATCCAATGCCAGGATCAATGAGAAAGGAGCAAGATGATGTAGATGGCCGACTGGGTGATCCACTATTTATTTTTTTGACTTTGTTCTTGCAGTTGGAAACAGCACAGGGATTGACTTCCCCATCCTGATCTGTCACAGAAGCAGTGGTAGGTGCTTCAGATTCAGAGCGTATCAAAAGCTGAACTATGTCATTTAGTCCAACATTGTAGTCAAATAAAGTGTGTCCATCTTCTAGCTGTCAAAAGAAAGGTATACTTGTAAAATTCTACGTCGAGGTATGTAATTAGTTTCCAAATCTTCCTTTTACAGACAATAATTGTACAGACAAGAAGAGGCAAGACAGCTATTTCAGGTAAATAAAAACCTATGTGTTGAGTATATGCAAAACCAAACTTTCATCAAATTACGTGCAGCCATGATTTCATCCAATGAAACTCACTGAAAAGCTTAAAAATTAGAAACAGACATCTTTACAGACTTTGGAACTTGTAATTATATATCAACATTCAAGATAACGCAGTGATTTTTCTGATCAAAAAACAGGTAGGATCTATGCTGCCACTCATATGGCGTACATAGTAACTATAAATATGTGGGAGAATTTTTAACAAGCATTGTGTCATGTACATTTCAGCTACATAATTTCACAATTCGCTCTCTCTCAACCTTTATGAAAAAGCAAGGCAGCACCTGATACTTCCCTAATATTTTTGCAAACTATTTCCTAAATAAAATATCTAGATACAAAATACCTCATACACATACAACTCCATTTACTTTTCAAAACTATAAGATCTGAAAGTATTGTGCAAGAGCAACTACACTTAGAGGAAAGCAAAACCAAAAATACATACTGGGCCTTCAAACATGTGAAGGCAAGTCTCTCAAACTGAGAGCATTCCAAAACATTTTTATTCCAGATTTAGCCAGGTTCCCTGCTCCCCAGGTCCCTGCCCCAAGATCAAAACAAGAAATTAAGTCTTAACAGGTCAGTTTAAAAGCTGTTATAAAACTGAAGAAACACACACTACATAAGACCTCCTCAAATAACTTCATACATCAGGCCCCATTATATTCCAGATGCAACCAGATCCTGCAGAACATCAGAATATAAACAGAAGTAGACTTTTTCATCGTATAACACAGTTACTAAACATTATTTGGGGCCCCACTCTGCACAGCTTTAAGATACCTGTCATTATCACTGTTTTACCTGATGATCTCACCTACCTACAATTAAGCTAAGAAACTCACACCAAAAAAACCTCCAAATTGTATGTTAGACAAAGAAACAGGAAGTAGTGATCACGCTCAGTTAAACACTCTTAATGACCTACAGCATCTTTGAAGCAGAGATTTTATCTACCTAAAAGTAAATGCACTGCTTTGAGACATCAAAACTAGAATTTGCTTCATTACATTCTACTTCACATTGCAGTGGGAGAAAAAAATGCATGACTAAAACAACTTCCACGTGTTTCCAAACTACTTTTGCTACAAAAAATTACCTGACTACCTGATCTTTTTCCAGAATAGGTGCTACTTTCAATATGATCGTTTCAAGAATCTCTTCAAACATACCTGTTTTCATGAGCTTATGGGCAGTATCAATAAAACAAGAACAAGTAGGGAGCAGGAAAGAACAGAAAAAAATAGAGAAGTGGGAAGGAATTATATAGCTTCTTACTAATACAGTTTCCTGTAACATTCAAATGTTCTCAGGATACACAAAAGTGCAATGCATGTTTCTTCCTTCATCCCCTCTGTTTTTTTTCAAAAAAACTTCAAAGGGCAGAGGACAGTTACAGACATAAGGTGACACTCAAGAAATGAATCAGTTCTTCTGTGAATTTAAGATCTGTGTAAAAAAAAAAAAACAACATTACTCTCCACACTGCCGGTAACTACTGTACCCACAGCTGGGATATGTAAACAGGAGTACTCAGTTTGTTTCAGTGTACTGAAGCTGACCCAGCTGTCTGGTCAACAGCTATGGAAATGACCCTTGTTCAGCTGACCAGTTCAACACACAGCAGATAAAACTGTACTGAAGATTTTGATGCTGTAACTATTACATGAGCCCAAGTCTTAAAATGGAAATCTCCAGCAACTGTTATTCTACAGGTGACTACCAACATCACCTCACATGCCTGCAGCTTTAGGCTAGGGCTTCATACTGAGTAGCAAACTACTTAAGCAAGTTTAAGTAACCTTTCCTGTCCCACCATGTTGTACAACATTCCCACGGTTCTGACAATTCTTTAATGAAGCAGACAGAATTGTTCTTGCAGCCCTATGACAATCCAGATTTGGGGGCTTTTCACACCACAGTAAGTTTGCATTTTTGCTGTTGAGATTATTAAAGTTTAAAACCAGTTATTCTTAGATTCAAAGTACAAATAAACCCAAAACAAAGACAAACAATCACCTTGCAATAATACATTTGAAAGGGGGTGGGGTGGGTGGAAGATCCCTATTTCTGGAGCTGTTACTGCTTCTGAGCACTAGCCAAGGCCCACTTTGAAGATTCAATCCCCCACCAAGTGGGTTTTTTGTTGCAAAATGTTTTAAAAAAAATCAGCAGTACATGTGCAAAATAGATCACTTCTGTAATAATGAATAAATTGGATGTTACTGGAAACAACACAACTTCTGCTCCATTTTTCTGTTCCAATTGGACGGGACAAGATGTGGCAGAGGTTTCAGCCTCTTCCTCTGCAATTTCTAGAATCCTATGGTACGAGGAAATCTTCTGAAAGCTAATGCAGTGGAGAGAAAAGAATAACCCTGCTCCTAGTAGACTGAAGGTATGAAGGCAACACACAGGTCACAGCAAAAAAATACTGTCATTGCTCCCTTCCTCTCAGGACATGCCACGTGCAGACTGACAGGAAAATATTTTAAGGTATTGCAGCTTAAAGTTTATAGCCATTCCAGTGAAGATCTAAATCTGAACAGCCCAAATGATCTACCATAATTAAGTAACGAATGTTAACATTCAACTAAAAAAATGTCCTGTGTCTGGCCTTTGCCATCTATTCATCAGCTATGACTGCGGAATAAGTTATATTTGTTCCACAGCTGAATCCTCCCTATTAGCATGAAAAAGAGGGAAAAAAAAAGAAAAAACAAGTAATCTGCCCAGGAATAGTTATATTTACATTATATACTTTAGCAAGCAAGACATACCTAGGCTAGGCCTTGAGTAAGAAGGCCTTCTCTAATGACACACGCACTCACCACCACAGACAGACTACCTATTCCTGCACAGGAATCAAAGAAGTCAGCTTTGATGAACATGAACTAAATGGTTAGCAGAATGAACTGGTGCCTGTAACATTGTCTACCTTAGAGTATTAATTTAAAATGAATTAGCATTCTGTTCTCTGCCCAAGTGGTTGAAGGTTTTTTTTTGCTTTGCTTTTACTATCGGTATTCTTTCCATGAGTATTTTATGACTACGGACTATTCTATAACTAGGTATGTCACACTTAAGTCTGAAAACACAGTAACAGAGATCAGATTACTATAAGCACACTTCAAAAGAGGCAGGATGTAGTGTTTGGCAATGTGATAGGCAAAGAGCACCTGTTTATAGTATAAGCAAAAAATATGTTCCCAGAATATTAGCAACCATACAAATTTAGACTAAGTCAATGACTCTGCACCACTGCCAGCTACTCAGAACAAAATAGAGAAACAAAAAAATTCAACTAGTAAAATCAAGTTCACATGCTATTTGACTTATAAGAATGCATGTATCTACAGGAATACCTATACCCAGTGTTAGGTTATCACTGACAATTGAAATCCCTGGAGTAACAAAGTTGGGAAACAATCAGTGTTTAAACAATTCCATTCCACAACAAGAGAAGAGAAGAACTATAAGGCGTTGTTTCCTGGATTACTGACACTATACGGATGTTAATATAACAATGGGATTTGGCCAGTAAGGCTATAACCTCACAGACTACTAGAGTAAGAAAACAGTAATGCAGCACATCATTTTACAGTGTACCTGCATGAAAGCATTACTGAATTGAGTCCCAAACAACCTCACAGACAAGTTAAATATTCAACCCAGAAAGGTAGAAAACTTCATCAAAAACAGTCTGGCAGTTTGTGGGAACAGGTGCTGACCAGTCCCAGTCAGCTTTATGGTATGTTCACTTTAACAATAGTTACTTATATAAACATATAAACAATTTCATCCATTCTGCTGCATAAAGACACTAAGAAGATTCGCTAAGAATGAGTTTGCCTGGACAGTGTGTCAAAAGAAAAGGAAGAAACATTACATGTCTACTTACTCATTTGCTAAGCATTCAAGGACACTTGTAGTTCACAAGTTTATACATGCAAATCAGACACAAAAGTAATCATGCAAGTATCATATAAACAAGCTGAATCTCATTCAAGTCAGTTACAACTTCTTAATGGGTGATTAGAACATGTACTAAAGCAAAAATAACTGAACAGGCAATTTGATTTATGAAGTTTTGCTAGCTCTTCTCATCCTACTGTCATCCAAAAAGAGACGCATTTGTTTCCTTAGCAGTAGATTTCACTTTCAGTTTTTCTTTCGCTCAATGACTGGGCATGCTTCAAAAGCCTTTAAGGCTTCATTAACACATTCTGAATGAACTGACACTAAAAGGCAGCTAGATTCACTGTATCTCTCACTATACCAGAGAAACAGATTACATCTTTCAAATGTATTTTCATAGATCATGTGTTAGAGACACTATCAATTTCAAAATACTTCTAGAGAAGGTTGTTATAAATAGTTAAAGGTAAGACAACACTGTGCTACACAAGAGTAGCTGTAGCAATGCAACACTGGAATTGATACCTACCTCCTATCAGTGTTAGAAGATCTGTCTTGTAACATCAACCCACAAATTACTTTAAAAGCATGTAGAAGCTGCACTTAAACATGGATGATCACACAGAGTGCAGTATGATACTACATTATTTGGGGAAAAAAATATGCCTGACAAGTAATTCACCAATTACTATCACACTAACTTGTCTACAAATCCCAGCAGAAGCAGAGCTCTTTATGGGTTATACAGCGTGTACAGAGACCTCCTAAGAAAGCATGTAATCATTCTTGTAAGAACACACTACTTATTGGTTTTATCTTAAAGTATGATCCAAGAAGGTAAGTTCCTGGGTCACCTTAATCCAGCCATTCCATTTGACATTCAAGAGCTTCAATCACTTATGGAAGTG